TGAATTTTTCGTTTAAATGTTATTTAGAAAAGTTGCTTGAATAGTTGCACTAAAGCTATGTCAACTAATTTTTTTGTCATTAGATATACTTTGTGATATCACGCGCCAGCGCGTGATCGGTGTGGTCCCAGGAATTTCATCTCAATTAGCCGTATCACGCCATAGAGTGAGACAATAAAACGACGTTATTATAATACGAAAACAGAAACTATATTTATATTATATTATATATACTAATTCGAATAAAACGAACAATACATAAAAAATTTATAAAACAAAAATATTACTCAGATCAAAATAAAATAAATAAAAAAACTAAAATAAGTGATCAAACCACAAATGTCCCTGTGGATTAAACATTTGTAACTTATTTATGAATAATGGTACAGCAATCTAGACAATATCCTGGTTCACTGGGGCACGACCTACATGTGTAGATAGTATCCTTTCTTTTTCCATTTTCGTAACATAACTTGCAATGTTTTCTAGGTGTTTTCTTAATACCTGGTGGTGCCACTCTTTGTGACATAATGTGACCAACTTCTGGGGGTCGTCGGTGTGCTTGGTCTTCTTCTGCCCTCTTCTGGGCCGGGGCTAATAAACTTTGTATGACTCGAATACGAAAGTCATAAAGACTTATTTTTTGGGTAGAGTATTTGTTATATAAATGGTGTGAATTGATAAGCATCAATTGCAGCACGTGGATAAACATCTTCGTAGGCCATCTTAATGTCTTTCTCTCTGCCGGGTAATAAGAGAGCATTTGGTCATGTCTGTCAATACCGGACATATACTTATTGTATTGAACGATCGGTAAGGGCTTCGATACAATTTGTTGTCTTTTATTTGGTACATCCACCATTATGTTTCGATATTCATTAGAAATATAGGACACATTCCTCTTATCTCTCCATTTTCCTATGAGTACTCCATCTGCATACCTTCCCATTACTTCACCTTTTTTTAACTTACTGTCTTTTATTTCCTTCGGTACATGCTTTCTGTCCAATCTTAAAGTTCCCGTACAGTGTGTTTTATGATTCAATAGTGTTCTAGCTAATAAAAAACTGTTATAATAATTGTCCATATACACACTATGTCCTACTTCCAAAAAACCGTCCAATAAATGCATTACCACTTTTGATGCATGATCTTTACCACCCAGATCGTCCAGTTTTCCTGCATAAACGGCAAATTTTAAAACCATACCAGTTGGGGTTGTCAGCATGTATAATTTAATGCCATATTTATGCCTCTTATTTTTTATATATTGGCGAAATTGAAGTCTGCCTCGCCATAACACCATAGACTCATCTAAACTTAGCTCCCGTCCTGGATAATACAGTGCACATACTTTTTCGTTAAAAAAATTAATTAGGTATCTAATCTTCAATAATTTGTCTTCAGGTAAAATACCATTTTCTCTATTTTCCGTGAAATTCAGGCAACGCATTATCAATAAAAACCGATTTCGGCTCATAACTTTGTGAAATATCCCAATGCTATATAACTCATCTTGTCGCCAATAGTCTTGGACACGGTTTATTCGAATATTGCCCATGTGTAACAGTAAGCCTATGAACAGTAACAAATCTTCAGAAGTTAACTGTTTCCAGTTAGTTATCCTGGATTTAAAGCATGTTCTTTCAGATAAAAATAGATTAATGGCGTAACTGTTACTCAAATCACAAATTTTTGTAATAAAATCGTCTGTCACAAACAATCTAAAATATTCAATCGGTGTCATTCCAGTACGTCTACTAATAATCTTTCGTGTTCAGTAAATTCAAAAACATCTTTCATTGTGGTTGGATTCAAAGAAAATTGTATAGACTGGTCTTGATTATGAGAAAGGTTTTGTGGACGTTCATTATCATTATTTTGTAACACGTACTGTTGTACACCAATATCATTTTCAGAATCCTCAGAATATACTTCGTCCGATTCATCCAAATCACCAAATACCATCTCGTCCTCGTCGGAGCTGTCATGTTCCAGTAAATATAGTAGTTCTTTTTCACTTAAAGGCTGTTTTAAATCAATTTTTACCTTTTTTGGTTGAGAAGGTCCTGCCACAATGTTATTACTTTCCGCCATTTTCACTAGACTGTCAACATACACTGGTACTGTCAAATCAAAAACCGCGCAATGTAAATCATAACCTATGATCGATCCTAGCAGGCCGACACTTATTTTTAAACTCATTCCATAAGCCGTATTTAAAAACCTACATTATAGAGCTTACAGCTATATCACGCACTGGCGCGTGATCGGCCTTTTTCCAAGTACGACCATCACGCACTGGCGCGTGATCGGCAGCGAACGAGTTAAGTGTTGCGCTCTGCTTGCTTCGCCCAGTTTGCGGATCAGTCCCCACGCTTTTCGACTGGAACGTGAGAAATGAATATGTTCTACGGTAGACTTCCATTTATTAAGTTTTGTTGAGTCCAGTGACTTCAGTAAGTTGTCACCAATTTCGGGATCTTCTGATTTCAAAAATTCGTCATATAGTTTTTGGCTTTCTTCCGTCCAGTCTGGGATGTACTCCTTTCGGAAACCTCGGGGGATATGTTTTTTGGCGATAGAGATAACCATTCCTACAAAACGGTGATAGTTGTTGGCCTTTGGGTGAATGAAGCGAATGCAGGTGTCCAGCTCTTTGGTGAATTCGGGCCAATTTCCTTTGTTAAAATTACAACGGGGTCTAGGCGTGGATTCAACGATAGGAATTTGTATGCCTAGTTCGATTATGACAGGTCGATGTTGGCTGTGAGGGAAACTGGGAAGTACAGTTCGAGAGCTTGGGAGTGGTTGCATCTGTGAGTTAGTGGAAACCCAGCATAGATCAGGGTTGTAGCCTTTGTGCCATCTTCTAGAAAAGAAGGTAGTTTTATCTTTTAGACTATGGATAAGGTGAATATTATTTTCTTCAGCCCACTCCAGTAGTTTCTCCCCATTTTCATAATTGTTTTCATATCCCCATTTGTTGTGGTGACTGTTAAAGTCCCCAATGTAAACTGCAGGTTGGTTGTCAACGGCTTTTATTACATCTACTGGCATCTAAAAATATTTATTTGTAACACGTCACCTGATTTCCCAAAAATCAAAACTTTTTTCTAACTCAATAATGAGGTTAATAATTGTACACTAAATATTTTTAAATTTACACCTTTTTTGATTGAAACAGGAGACGTACTTTCGCAAAACAGTTTTGAGTAGATTTTTTTTCACTCAAGTGTAGTTACGAAAACACTAATTTTCCAGTCATTTTGTTCATTGATATACATAAAACTCACCTAATTCAATTCATAGTTCTTCACAATTCAAACCAGTAAATTATGTTCAAAGTTACAAATTATTTTAGTGACTCTATTTCCCAATGCAACCAGAATTATACAACCTGCAGATTTGCTGCTGATTTATTTGTAGATACAGTTGGAGTCGCAAAAAAAAAGGAATTAAAAAGTTTGAAAAATTGCGAAGAACGAAGTGGAGATTCAAAATTAATCTTTAATATATTTAATTTATTTTAAAATACCATAGGTCTAACCACAATTCAGACTACAGAGACAGGTGGAATCACAAATGACATACAAGATACCTCTGTCATCAAAGAAACCCATATATCTTCGGATATTACACTTAAACCTGTAGGTGGCAATGAAATCATAAGCAACCTTTCAGATATTCGTGTTATTACAGAAGAAAACCTACTTTCGGATTTTCGAATTCAACTTCCAAAAAATGTTGATATTACATATAATATAAAAGATATAGAAGATACAATGACAGAAGATAATCAATCGACATCCAATAATCTGCCTTAAGTTAATCAAGAGAACTCAATATCTAAAGAAATTGACACCTCAATCAACAAATTATTTTTTTGGACTAAAACCCCAGAAGAAAAGGGCAAAAAAACAGAAAAGTTGCCTTTCGTGCTCCCTTCTTCAGATCGTTAAAATGCAGAGAGGCATAAAATTAAAGAAAAAGCAAAACAAGAAAAAATAAATTTGAAACGAAAACAAAAGCGAATTGACGTAAAATCAAACAATAAAGGTCAAAAAAAACAGGGAAATCAAGATGAGAGTAATAAACAAAATTGCCGCAAAAGTCAATTCCGTCAGCAAAAAATGTCAAACTCTTATGAAGAATAAAGAAACTGTTACTGTAAATACAGTTGAGAATTCAGATACAAATATTTTTAAAACACACACTTATTGATCATACAATTAAAAGTACTACTTGAAAAGTGGAGTTAGAGTACAACGGAAAACCGATTTCCTGATTCTGTAGAAAAAAACGTTAATCTGCCCACAATTGATAACATATTTGATGTCTGCAACAATATGAATTTATCAAATTTGAAGAATAAAGAATAATAAATTCAAAGAAAAAAGTGCTGGTGAGTCGGCTAAAAGAAAATTATTTTTTGAAACTGAGAGATATCCAGAACATGAAAAAATACAAATTCTCTCAAATATAACGGTGAAACAGTCAAGACAACACCAACCCAACTACAAATAAGCTTTTGTATATAGGATTGTGTTATTCTTGTTCCTATAATATATCTAAATCAAAAGTTGGAATTAAATGTCTATTTTGTGTTAGAGGCTACCATATTGGTACTTGTGCAAAGAAACAACAAGAAAATGAAAACTTAAATAGTTTTCTGTGCCTTACCTGCATGAACAAAAAAAGAAAATTACGAATTTTATGAATGGCCAATGACTAATTCTATATGCCAATAACTATTTGTATGGTTAATAACTGTGTAATTCTGTAAGTTTTCAAATTTGTGTTTATTTTTTATATATATTATTATTTCTGATTAAAATAACCTGAGTTTTTATAAAATCTGATGTTTCATTACTACTAAAAAACCCTTACAAAATATTTCACTTTAAAAGATACCAATTTACAATTTTAATTCAATTGGCAATTCCTTAAGTGGCCAATCACTCTACCCGTTACCCTAATAAAAATTTCTTTTGACTTACGGTGTAACAATAAAAGAATCCTTATAAGTCTTCTGGACACTCTCCAACTGTCTTCGCAACTGTTCCGCGTCAATGCAATTTCTACACAAAATACCTTCCCATGTTTGAACACTTTTTTCTCGAATTTCTACCATCTTTCTACCAGCGGCTTCATTATATTTCATATTTATGTAAGCTTCTTTTAGTTTTATAAAAACATCTTGATTATCTTTGACAAACTGTAGTTTCTTCTCTAGTTTGGTTGTTTTGGTTCGTTCATTTATTAAACTAAAACAGTATTATGTTAATGTTTTAATCCCAGACATAATACCGCCATTACCATACAACACAAGATCTTTTATCGAAAACTTAAAAACGAAAAATAGATTACAATTCCAACAATATGCTAGTCAGTTTTGATATTACCAATCATTTTACCAATGTACCATTAAAGAAAGCTTTAAAAATAATAAGAGGCAAAATAAACAGAAACAATTTTCTGATGGATATCGACAAAAAAGAAGAGTCAAGCAAATTCGCCATGGAAAAATAGAACAACAGTTCACTTTTCTTTCCGGATGTAATCTGAATAATCACAAAAGAAGGCACAGAATATGCGACCAAAGTTTACAGAAAACTAACCCACACCAACAGATATTTAAACTGTCACTCGAACCACAATGTAGACATCAAAAAAGGAATCGTCAAATCATTATATGATATGATATAAGAATAAAATCTGCTAGTCAAGGTTTTGAGAATGGCTACCCATTGTCATTCATAAACAAGGAGGGATTTATATATTTCCTTTAATTTCACAAAATTAAAGAAAAGAAATAATAAAAACACACTACAGACAATGTAGAAACACTCACAAGAAGGGATTCAAAGACGATAATAATACTATATGAAGGATACACGGAAATAACCGGCTAAGTCACAGTTTTAAGTTTTAGTCCGTTGTATCTTCATTGCTAACTCGAATCTTAGACTGTTAACCAAAAAAACTGTAAAAGAAGGTATATTTTTTACATTATGTGAATACTTTAAATTTGCTATTGTAATTCTAGCCCTGAAATTGAATATTGTATCTTAAAGGGTACTGACTTAGCCGTTTTCCCCAGTTGCAAGTGCTTGGCTCTAGCGCAAGGTATTAATGGCACATAACTCGTCAATGGTTTCTTATCGATTTTTGTGTTTTATTATTCCCATATTCTTGTCAACACCCATATAAGAATGACCTCTAACAGGAAATATAACTTTGATGTAATCCAACCGTTTCTGTTCATGATTGACATGGTGTAGAAAGCAAAACATTGTATAATTTTTGCTTTGTCCCCCGCAGAACTCACAAAAAATATCTCATTGGCGAACTTGTCCATCCTGGTGATTATACAGAATGTCGTTTAAAAGGAAAACAACATTGTCACTGCTTTTTTTACCAAAGGTTGCTGGCTATACATAGAACACACTCTCTGATGTTAAAGGTACATGAAAATTAAAGAGAGTAAAGAAAGTTGTCGCTTATAATAGATTTTATTGATATTTATATTACAAATAGGTAAGTTCCTACGTAAATGGAGAGAAGCTCGGTCAATTGAGATTTGCAGATGACATCGTCCTTATAGCTGATCGTATGAATGATGCAATAATATTGCTTGTAAAATTATGACACGCTTCCTTGAAGGTCGGAGTAAATATTAATCTGAACATGATACAAATAATGATTAATCTTGTGCTAAATCTAAATATTGCTGGTAATGGAAGTGATATTGTGCATACTATATCGTATAAGTACCTAGGACATGAAATTGGGTTAGGCAGAGATAACCAAACATGTGAGCTCCCACGTCGCATAGGATTAGCCTGGGCAGCATTTGGTAAATTAAACTGTGTAACTAAATCCGATCTACCCATATGCCTCAATAGAAAAATCATTGACCAATGTTTGTTACCTGTACTCACTTATGGAGCGGAAATATTAACTCTCATAAAAAAGATAGTTAATAAGATTCGCGTGACTCAGATGGCTATTGAGCACCAGATGTTGGGTGTCTATCTGAGAGACTGAATCCCAAATAAAGAAATACGTCGTAGAACAAAAACAACAAACGCTATCGAAAAAATCTCGTCTTATACTCGTCTCGTCTCGATACTCACCAACTAGATGGTCCGACGACCTGAAGAGTGTTAGCAATAACTGGATGCAAGCCGCACAAGATAGAGACACATGGAAAGAGCTTAGGAAGACCTATGACGTAGTTCCTACCGTAGTTCAGAAAGATAAATTCCCTTCACACATACTTGGAGCTTGCTGTTCTGGATTTTCGCTTTCTCGAATAAAATTCTTCTGCTCGTCTCTTATTAAGTTCATTGTCTCTCTTTAGACGGTTTATCTTAGTCTCTATGTTTTTTGGATGGTAGTCACGCCCGTTTGAAAAAATTTCGTATTGAATATGGTAGGACAATTTCATGTACCTACCTACTTCATCTAAGTTATAAATTTAAGCGGTTTAAAGAAATAGCGAGTAAGCAAATCTTCCAATTTGTTCTGGAATATCCCCACATTTGTTCTGTTAAAACTAGTCATACGTGCTTAACTAGGTGCTTCTAGTTTTCTTACTAATAACCGTGGGTGTCGTTGCATAAAATTTGTAAACCAACACTCTGATGCCAGTTTTGTCAGATCCCATTTTTCTGGTAGTTTTTTTAATTTGTAATAGTGTATTTATAGGCTAAATTTCTATGTAATTTGGGTGTAAGACCATAAAACATTGACGAACATTTAAGCAAATTATTTTTTAATTGAGTTTCCATCTCATTTGTGAAACTTTGTGATTTATGAAAATCTGATTTAAACTTTATTTGTTCTATTCCAATTAATTTTGCGCACTTTTGGTCACCCCATAGTGCTTAGCGCACTTCCGGATACCCAAGTTATTTTTTATTTACAGCCTCGATGGCTTCTTTCATAATTAAGGGGTCAAAATGTCTATTAGTGTTTTTGTTGTAAATATTTGGCATTTTGAACGAACTTACGTACAAAATAAAAAGCCATACAGTAGAACTCCAATTATCCGAACTCCGACTATCCGAATCGCCGATTATCCGAATCACTTTCAGAAAAAATCAGAAAATTGTCCAAAGTCCGCGGCGTCAGTGTATGCACAACACGTGCTATGAGTCACGGCGCACCTGTCATTGTTTGTTCAGTTACATTAGTCAGTGTGCTATTGACCTTGCTCGAAAACGCTACTCTTTCGCTACGGCTTACGTTTGTATTGTTTTTTACCATGGCTTCGAAAAGAAAACGTGTTGTGCTATCGTTAGCGGACAAACTGAAAATTATAGAGCAACTCGATAAAGGTGTAACGGGTAAGAAGTTGTCTGAGATTTATGGTGTTGGACAAGCAACAATTTGTGACATTAAAAACAGTAAGTCAACACTTTTAAACTTTGCTTCGGTGCTTGAAAATGAAGATGGAAGTTCCTCCAGGAAAACAATGAAGACAGCAACCAACAAAAATTTGGAAGATGCCGTGTTTAAATGGTTTTTGCAGCAACGTTCTATGGGAAATCCGATTTCAGGCCCAATCCTTTGTGAAAAAGCCAAAATCTTAGCAGAAAAGCTTGGTTATTCATCTTTTAAGGCTAGTAACGGCTGGCTAAGGAACTTTAAATTCAGGCATGGTGTACGCGAGTTAGATTTGGCTGGTGAGAAGCTTTCAGCGGACTCTGCAGCTGCTGAAAGTTTTATTGAAAAATTTAAAACTGCAGCAGAATCCTATGATCCGGAGTTTGTTTATAATGCCGATGAAACTGGCCTTGTTTGGAAAGCATTACCAAAAACCACTTTGGCTTCTAAAAGGGAATCTAGTGCCCCTGGACATAAGGTCAGTAAAGAACGTGTTACAGTGCTTAACTGTGCCAACTCCACTGGAAATCATAAACTACCACTTCTTTTGATAGGAACATCAAAAAATCCAAGAGCATTTAAAAACGTAAAAAAACTTCCACTCTTCTACAAAAGTCAACCCAAGGCCTGGATGACTGCAGCTTTGTTTACCGAATGGTATGATGAAGTGTTTATTCCTGAAGTGAAAAAGCACCAAAAATCGGTGGGAAAAGAAGGCAGTAAGGTGCTTTTAATTGTTGATAACGCACCCACTCATCCTACAGCAGAACTGTTGGAAAGAGAGAATGGGCAGTTTAAAATGACGTTTTTGCCTCCCAATGTTACAAGTTTGCTGCAACCCATGGACCAGTCTGTTATTGAAACAATGAAGCGCCATTACAGAAGGCAACTGCTGAGAAAACTGCTGATCGAAGGTGCTGAAGATGAAGAATTGGTTTTGGCAAATCATAGCAAAATAAATTTAAAGGACCGCTGTTACATGGTAGCGGAAGCTTGGAGTTTGGTTACGGCAGTGACGCTAAGACGTGCGTGGAATAAACTGAAAGGCCTACCGTCTGAGAAGAACAAAAAAAAAAGAAAATGAGAAACAAGAAAATGGAGAGGATGAAGATGATGAAGATGCGTTGCCACTAGAGAAAATGAGAAAAATGATTGTAAAAATTCCTGGTTGTACAGAAGTAAGTGCTGAAGATGTAGGAGAGTGGATGGCTTGTGACACGTCTGACCCTGGTTTTCAAATTCTCAATGACGATGAAATTGTTGAAAGTGTGAGAGAAGATGTTGAAGTGGAAGTGGAAGAAGAACTTGCTGCTGATGTTGAAGTAGACGCTGGACCATCAGCTAGTGAAGCATTTGCCGGCCTCGAGACTGCTTTGAATTGGATGGAGCGTCAGCCCGAGTGTGACCACTGGCAACTGCTCACCGTCAAGCGAATGCGTGACCTGGCTGCCCGAAAACGGATGAAGAACGCAAAACAGCTTACATTGACGGAGATGTTTAAAAGACAATGATTTTTATTTCTAAACTTGTACGTATGTATGTACATATGTACATTTTATTTAGATTTAAAACATGTGAAAATATCATGTTTCTTTCATTTTATTCAATTAAAAAATAGTGCAATATCAAAACGTAGCTTTTTTTTCTCTCCAATGGCAATTTTTATTAAAAAACTCCGATTATCCGAATAATTTGATTATCCGAATGGGTCCCGGTCCCCATTAATTCGGATAATTGGAGTTCTACTGTATTTATTATTTCATAGACTCTCGCCAAAATATAAGATTATAAATTCTTTACATATCGTCGCCTCAAAGCAATAGTAGGATATGTAAAATATTGTAGTTTCGAGAAAAACACATTTGAAAATTTTATGAAACTTGAATGAATTTATGAATTTACGTGGAATTTTGTTTGAGTACCTAACTTTACATGTGTCAAATAAAAATTTATATTAATTAATAAAAAAAGTGAAATAAAATTGGAAAAATGTTAGTTGTCCTACTATTACCCTCAAAGATAATCTGTTTTTTAACGATACCCGTAAATTTCTGTTATATAAACTTACATTGCACTAAAGCTTTGTTTAAAATTTTACACATTTCAATACAAAAAACAAAACAATTTTGTTGTTCAAACATATTATTACATAAATAATAACATGAACATACTTATTTTACAAAAATTTAAAAAATTTACAAGATAACAAAATAAAATGAAAAAATCATCAGGATCACTAATGGTAATAGCGGATACTGAAAGTTGAGAAACTACAAATGTATTGCATTTCATTAAATCAGCCCAAATTTTCTGAAGGGGAATTTATCATAAATTTAACTTACCTTTTCCCTGTGCTTGATAAATTCCAGATAACAACTCAGAACCGGGGTAATTTTTTTCGCTAAATACACTAAATACTGACTTCTAGATACCCATAATTTGTACAATTTAAATTGGCCGAATTATTCATTTTTACTCTTTAACATACACCTTTTAACAATAATATAATAGAACTGTTGTTTATGATTACTGAAGATAAAATTGTGACCGCAAGCTGGATAATATAAACAAAGACATAATCGCAACTTGCATTAATATTGATGACCAAAATGGGTAAACGACAAAATATAATGGTATGATATGTGTGTTGTCTTAGTGTTGCAATATAAAATTTGGGCTAAAAGGAATTAAGCTACACAAGGATACAGAAGGGTGTATTTCGAATCATTTAACATGAATATCACAAAAGCCATTTTTTTTACATATCCTACTGTTGCTTTGAGGAGGCGATATTGGAAGCATAACTTATATATACCATCTGAAATTACATAGTACTTACCAAAAACAAAAAATATTTATTATTTTTAACACTATGTTTTTACAGTGAAGTTCTCACTCGGTACACACGAAACCGTATTTACAACGATTCTTTTAGCAGTTCAGTGAACGTGTATTTTCGTGTGTGAATTTAAACGTGTACATTCTCTCCTAGTGTCCAAACTTCCCCAGGCCTCCCCTATATATAAACAATATTTAATCGGGAAAAAATATATGACCAAGAAATTAACACCAGCATAATGCAGCCATAAAATATATAGAATGCCTTAACGGAATTTTCTGGAACAAGAATATGACAGAGAAAAGAAAGTTAATATCTATGAAACTCTAGCAAATGTTATTAGACGTATGTGAAACGTAGCGATTAATAGAGAGAAACCAAAGAAATAAACAGGCCACGGAAATTGATGTTATAAGGCAAATGCTACAGATTTTAAAAAGAAAGAGGAAAAATAATAAAGAAATCAGAAAACCTTTTGAAATAAAAAATATCATAATGAATGATGAACGCAGCTCATTTGGTACCGTTCCCGTCATAAAAAACTGGTACAACTCTTATAACCGAAAATCGTGTTTTTCAAGTTGTGTAAGTTGAGCTTGCCATATGTGTCACTCTAATTTTGAAGGCAACGTTGCCAGTTCAACGAAAATATTATATCAAACCAGCTAAAAGAAGGGTTGTGCGACAGGTCGCAAGTTTTTAGTATACTAAAAACTAAAACAATATCGAGCATTCTCAATCAGTCAGTCACATCTATATTTATACATTTATTTAAACATACATCTTAAATAATTCTATTATTTAAAAGTTTTCATTATCTCAGTATCCATACATTGATTCGTGTTTTATTATAATTTATGAACATTTTTCAATTCAAAAATAACGATTGATAAAATAAATCTAGACATGACTTTAAATTTATGTTTAATTTCAAATTGAGAGGTGTGACAGGTTTCTCGTAAAGTGTAGCAAGAAAACTTTATTGTATTGAGTTGTGGAATACTACAGTAAATAAAACCCACTGGAAAAATTTAAATTTAATTTGAAATTAATAAAAAATTAATTATTTTTACAGTGAACAAGTGTGGGATTTAAATATATGTATTACAATTCGAAAAGTTAATATTTTGTTATAGCTCCATTATTATTAATCACTTCTTGTAATCTTCTGGAACTGAGTTAATTAAATTTAGTGACAAATTTTCATCTTCGGCCAAACTTTCCCATGTTTCTTCAATGATGGTCTAGAAATGATCTCTGTTTTGGGGAACTACATTTAATTTTTGTTTTTTGGTGATGTTAAGTCCCCAAACGTTCTCTATTGAAATTAATATCTGGACTTTTAGAGGGCCATGGAAGAGCTTCAATGCTATTTTCCATAAGGTAATCCCGTACACGGTGGGCTGTGAGGATTGAACAGTTATCATGCTGTAAAATAAAATTATTGTTGGGGAAAATTTCCCTAACGGATGGCAACATCACATTATCTAATATATGTAAATAGGTTTTAGTATTGAATCGTCCTTCAATTCTCCAACACATTCCTAAACCTCCTCGATTCATCCAAGCCCAAACATTTATAGAGAACCATCCGGACTTATCACTTGACGAAATATAGTTTTCGTTAAACCTATTTCGAGGCGGTATATAAACCCTAATATCGCTATCCTAATGAGACTGGAATACTTTTTCATCAGTTAAAATTACACGGTCCCAAAAATTGACTAGATCATTTAAAACGTAATTTAAAGCAAATAGGAGTCTACTTTATTTTCCTCGCTAAATTTGTATTTTCGGGCTGCTGCGCCTTTTTTTAAATCTGTTCATTTAATTCTCCTTAATGCTGTAGTTATAGAAGCATTAAAGTTTATATTAACTTTTGCTTGCCTTGTCGTATGAAAGGGACACGCTCTTAAATAATTAGTTAATGTTTCATCTTGTTGGGCTTTAGTAATAACTAGTCACCCACTCCCTCTCCTTCTATCCAAAGTCTGCTCGTTTTCCCATCTTTTTTTGTTGTTGATTGTGGTTTTGCTTCTATTTAACGCTTGGGCAAGTTGTCGAATAGACCAACTTTTTCTATTTTTGAAATCATTCTCGTTTTATCAAACTGACTTAACTGACGTGCCATCTTTAAAAATTCACTTTGACAAACTTGTCAAATCTGACCGAAGGCAAGCAATATTGCTTATGTTTAATTTTTCGGGTATGTTCGGGAAGTTTTCACGCACTGATAACATCTGTAGATACTAAACCAATATTTTGCAGTTATAAGAGGATTTTTTAGAGTTATAAGAGGATAATGTAATGTTTTGAAAAGCGTTTTTCGTCCCAGTTTATAATCTACGTAGAATAAACTATAATGTTCGGTTTTCACATTTATCGTTCATGTATAAATATTAAATTAATTTAGGTAGTTTGCCTGTTACCAAACTTATTGACATAACATACAGTTAACAGTTTGTGTTCTGTAAGTAATATAAGTATAAAATTACAGTAGATGCATTCCAATGTTCCCTGTGCCCTAAGTATAAATACCGTTCAACATTTTGGACATTAACTCAATCCTCTTTCTGGTTAATAAATTTATTAGATACGATTTTTGTTGTTAATACTAAAAATAATAATCTAAAAACTTTATACATTTTTGAACGTTATTTTTTACTTTTTACGTTTTATTTAAATTTACTGAAATTCCGTTATCTGTGATGGCAACAACGAATTGATTCAGGAACCATTGTGTCCAGTCTGAACACAGGTTTACATTGGGAAAAAAAGTGTACCAGTTTTATATGACGGGAAGTGTACAAGCATGCATAGTGAAAAAACACTTATGGTAGAAGCAAGAAAATCAAAGAGCTTCAAAGAACTTAGAGAAGGCATGAACGTAAATTGGGTATCAGACATCGCTTGTACACGTTCTAAAACAAATGTAAAATTGACGAAAAAAATCATACCATAAATTAACTTTTTCAATTTCCAAATCCAAAAGTTTATTTCTATTTTCCAACTCAGTAATTTTATTTTTTAGTACTTTTATTTCTTCGCCGTCATCTAAGATACTCGTACTAATTGATGAAGCACTTTGTATATCACCAGCTTCACACCCAATACCTGCAAAAGAAAAAGAATTATTCAAATTTTTAGTAAACCATAGTGAGAAATGTATAAATTCTAAATATTTAAACTTGATAAAAATGATTAATTTAACACTTTTATCATTTTTAGAGAGCAAAAAAATATATAATCAAATCTCTTCACACAATAAGCTAAGCTAAATTGTTTTCATTTATATGAATTACTCGTATAGATAATATAAAAATTATTGTGAATTTGAAAGGGTTAAAAGGGACAAAGAAAGATGTTTTAAATAAATCCTACATCTATGAGTAATGAGCTGGCGGGTACTTGAACACTTTGGTAATGTTCATCGAGTTTTATGATATGAAAGGTAGAAGTGATCGTCAATGACAAGAGGGTTGTAAGAAGTCTCCACTTATTGCGTCATATCTTCTTCTTTCCCGAAAAAGAATTATTACCTGCTTATCACTATATGACGTGTTAACGTATTATTTATCCTGAGAAATGATCGTCAATGACCAGAGGGTTGTAAGGAGTAGTTGCTTATCGCTTAAACTCTTCTTATTTCTTCGAAGGAGCCACCCTGTACGTTAAACGCAGAACTGGTCGCTTACTGCTAAATTTCTTCTCCTTTTCCGGTAACTATACAGCGTACCTACCATGCAAAGTAAAAAATAAAAGTCGTTTTGTATCACAACTGCTTCATTGGTGTTTTATAAAACAAAGCGAAAAAACTTTTTCGAGAAGTTTTGTCCGCCAATCACAAATTGTAGTTCTTTATTTACATAAATAAATATCATATTTATTTAACACAGAGTAACCCTATATAATTACCCAAAAAGAAGTCTATCCTTATTTGTTGTGTAGAAAGTTGAAAAATAAGTCAAAATTTTGGTTTTTTTAAATGGTAATTAAAAACTTTTTTAAAAATAAACTTATTATCTTCATATTACATGGAATGTTGGTTCTTGTTGTGCTTAAAATATGGCCAAATTCTAAAACTATACCCCCAGGCCCAAGAAATCTGTTACTTTGAACTTCTTCAATAGTAACCAATTCTGTATCTCTATCTTCTGTATGAAGCTAATACTACACTTTCGTATATTTCGTCCTCTTGTTAGTGGTTTTGACAGCACCCATTAAGTTTATTTTTCTTTGTTCTCTAGAGACAGATTTGTTTTAGTGTCCTTACAATTGTTCACGCTTCTCTAGAGCTTCCCCTGTAAAAGTTATATATAATTCTTTATACTTTCCTTGTCAATATTTTTGATTTTTTACCTTTTTGGCATCATTATTAACTCTATCTATAATGAAATAATCTTTTTAAAAACGCCTTCCGGGGTGGATTTCGAAATGGCAAACGTTAGTTAAAAATGTAATTTTCATTACAACCAATTAATTGTGGCTTAACCCAGATATACAAAATATTTAACATATGTATTTTTTATTTTCACGAATTTTGATTTTTTTTCTATATTAGAATAGCAAGTCTACTGTTTATTGTGCAATTTATTTCCCTGTAACTTGAAAATAAACAGTAATGAACCTACAGCTTTTATGTTTTATCTCTAGATTACATATATTCCAAAAATTTTAATATCACGATACCAGCAACCTTGTATTCGAACTTGGTATTTAATTAAAATTCAAGTTAGGATTAATAATGAAAAGATTGTTTTTATTTTAAGGTAAGAATATAAAATCTTAGTAGGGTATTAACATTTTTTGAATACAGATACACTGACCTATTTTAAACAGAACTGTTTAAACTGTTTGAAATGTTTGTTAACATTTATCATATTATCTTACCTACAGCACTGGAACTTTTGGTTAAATTATTAGTTGTGGTTTTCTCTTCCTGAGTTAGATCTCCTTCACTATATGAAATTTGAGCAGATTCTGAATTCAAAATGTATTCTTTTGCATCGTTAAAAGTAACGGTATATTGAGGTTTGACATGTTTTGCCATAACTGAAATAATTTACGGTATTTTAGTGAACAAGAAATAAATATTTTGAGAATTGTCAAGTAAATGTCATTAAGAGGAAATAAAAATGCACTAGAATTCAATAAAACAAAAAAGTATCTTACTAATAAAACTAAGTATATGCAAAACTTTTTTAATTAATTTTTTATTTCTTTTTCCAATTTTCACACAGATTTTTAGTTTCAACTCAGTTTAAACTCAGTTGATCTTCTTCGTTTTTATACGTCACTATGATCTTTTGTCTTAAATATAAGTGTAGGTGAAACGGAAAGTGCGAGCAATGCGATACAGGGAGATAAAGTGAGAAAGAAATAGAGAGAAAAAGTATGACAGAGGACAAAATATATTTTCATATTATAACCCAAAAGGTATTATGCAATTCCTTCGCATGGTTCCATCATATATCCTGCCAAAGTGGCAAACAAAAATGGTAAGCGCGCAAAGCCGAATACAAATATGTATAACAAAAAAGAAAGCTTATAATCCACGATGATTTTAGAAAAGAATTGGGACTCCTCACAGAAATCAGACAACAATCAGAATTAATTTTTTAATAATTTTTTTTAAAAAGCTAGTTTTTGGTCAAGGATCATAACAAGGAATCTAACTTCGTCTACATATTTAAGCTGTCCTCCATTTAAATATTTAAGTTCTTGAGTTGTATTTGGTGACTTTTCATAAATCATACTGCTTTGGCTTTGAAACTGAAGACCACTTGTGAATGACCATTCTTCAATATGATTTATGGTTTTTTGAACATGGATATGGATAGTTGTTTTTTTCCTCTACAAGGTATAACTAAATCATCTGCATATACCCTAGTTTTTACAAGATGTTTAATTTTTGCGGTAATACAATTCATAGCTATAAGAAACAGAGTAGTGGTAAGGTTCGAGCCTTGTGGTATACCATTTTTTTATTTTTTATTGAGAAATGTACGCCGTCTACTCTGACTTAAAATTGTCTATTTTTTAATAAAGGCTATAGCGGGATAAGATGGTCAAAAGTGCCCCCGCACCAATCAGCAGCGCGATCTGTGCTTTCGATAAAGTGTATAAAAACATGACTTCATACAAATTTTCAGCTTTCCAGAGGCCACGAAACCGCTTAAATCTAAAAAAGAAGCTTTTTTCGACTTTATTTTTTTCTGGACGCAATTTTGCTTTAAAAAATCTGAAAAAATTCATGAAGGTGTATCTTTTGAATACAAAATAGCCTGATTTTTTTCAAATTTTTATATTGAAAATTGAGCCTAGGAAAAATTATTGAAATTTTCAATAATTTTTTAGGTTATGTTAATAATTTTTGGCTAACTTTTAAATAGTAATTTTTTGTGTATTTTTTTTTGTTCTTTTGAATGGCCAAGGCAAAATTTTCAAATTCTGAGCGGAAAGCATCGAAAAATAAAAAAAAACCGTTTTTTACTCATTTATTTGCACATAACCTTAAAACTCAGTTGTTAATTGAACATTTTTCAACATTTTTTCTTTCCACATTATCAAATTCTATTGTATAAGTCCCCATTTAACTCTTTCAAAAGGATAAAATTCGAAAATACCACGTTTTTTATCCACTTCGCACTTTTTTACCTTAACTCAAAATCAGATAATTAGATGTATGCTTTTCCATCTATTCTCTTACGGGCTATGAATCATCATTGTTAAAATAATCATTTTTAACTTACAAATTCTTAAAATGCGAATAAATCATGTATTTATAATATTTTCCCACTTTATTGGCTCTTAACCTTAAAATGTAGTAGCTACATGATCGAATTTCCGTGTATTTTTGATCGCACAGTTCAATTTTGTTATACCACTTATCTTTTTTTTTCTTAAATAGTCAAAACTTGAAAAAACCGGTTTCCAAGTATTATTTCTATGTTTGACTCGTTAATAGCATAAAGTGATATATCTCTAGGATCACCTCAATAGGACAAGAATATTATTATTTTCCAAATATTTTTTTAACATTGTAAAAATTGTTTTATAAATTCATTTGGATATAAACGAGGACATATATAAAATATTTGGCTACAAAAATATTTATTATTACGAAATGGTTATTCAATAGGTTATTTAAATTAACAGTTTAAACATTCAATTACATTTTAGTCTTCATCACTATTCTCATCTATGACAGGTTCAACATCAGATTTAAAAATTTCTGACAGAATTTTTGCTGGTCTTATGATTCTCGATTTATATCTTGCATTACTGAGATAATATATAACTGCGGCTATATGAGAACACGAACCCACAGTGCGTAACCCATTTGCACAGTCACATGCGTGACGCAAAATACCACCATATCCAATTGAATCAGGCTTATACTCAATGTAGCATTTATAGGTCTTACTGCTTATATGCCTGGATCTTATCAGTACTTTAATAATATTTGGTTTCATTGTAATATACTCCAAATTAATGTTATTACTATCATCCATCAACTCAGCCAAATAGCAAATGGCTTGACCTAACTGATAGGTTCCCGAAAAAAAAAATTTTGAGGTCCCTTTCAGTCATCTCTGGAAAGTTAATGATTTCTTGCGATGTCAGCTTAGTCGTTGTAGTAGGACGTCTTGACCACCTAGCTGTCTCAGCTTCTAATGCTAAAGTATTCTCACCTTGATTAGATTTTAACATTCTTTCGATTATTATATCCTGTAACCCATCATCATTTTGATCACTATTCAAACGCTTACCAAATAAATTGTTAACAAAACATGCTATTTTACAATATGCACCAACTTTTGGTATAAGTTTATTATCTAATTGTTGATGAAGAAGCTTATATTTTTTGCCAAGAATTCCATGAACGGCTTCTACGACCCACCTCAATTTAGTTACATAGCGTGATTCATTTGATTCAGCCGTGGTCAAATTGGATCTTTTTCCTTTTAAGGCAGGCATAAGAATCTTGAAGCCAAGGCTTTTTAAGTAAGGTACAACATCCCTAAAACCTCTATCCACGATACACACATCTCCTTTTTTCATGATAGATTTTATACCATTTGGATCATCCATTACTATTTTCATGATGGTTGCATCATTTTCAGTGGCATAAAATGGACCAGGGAGATCTACAACGTATCCATCTGTAGTACAAATAGTAAAAGGTTTGAGCAAGGGTTTCTTTTTCTGACCTGAATACGACTTTCTCTGATAATCGTTATTTTGACTCTTTTGGTGATGTAAATATGTTCCATCAAAAATCAAAACAAGTTGGTCCGACAAGTTAAAAAGTTTTTTTGACTTTCACTTGACAGAGAATCATCCATATGCATATTTAATTTCTATTTGTTTAAATTAATGTAACTTAAGTAAGCTTGCTAGCTTATTATAATAGCCAGCGGCTTTAATTTTTCTATATTGATTCTATTAAAAAGGATTTTACATTATAGTTTGAAATTCATGACCCGGATGAGATTATAGAATAATTACAAATGTACAGTCTTCTGAAAATGAAAAAATCAATCAAATACAATGTTAATATTAGCTTTTGAATAACTATGATTGATGCAAAATATAGAAGCTAATATATTTCATTATCTAACCTACTAAAACTCAAATTCTTGATCTTGTGATAACAAAAACAAAATTATATAATTACATGCTCTAACATAGCTTAGGGTATCGCCGTATACTTACTGAAATTGATATTAGTATAAGGTAAGCACAATTTAACTTTCACAAATCAACCTCTGACGATATCGCACTTTGATAATTTGAGTTCGAGAATATCGCAAGTATCGCAACTGATGGTGAATGCATACGCGCGCCTATGCGATAACTTTAATATACCTAATTCTTTCGATACTTTTCCATGTGATTGATAGTTTTCAAGATCTTTGATAATACTGTAACGGATTTTAGAAGAAGAGGATTAAATGATAATAAGGCTAACACAGTCAAAGCGATACGAAGGCGACACCAAGGCGAAAGCAGTAACGACAGAAACAATGTCTGCAACGCGCATACTCCCATTGTCGTTGTCATGGTTACAGATCATGCGCGTAGCAGACATTGTTGATGTCGCCACTGCTTTCGCTTAACCCTGCGGCAGGCGCGACATTTTAAGTTGCACGAGCAGGCGCGACGCTGTGTAGAACACCGCAAACTCTAGTTCTCATATAAAACTTAGTTATACGCAAAATAACCATTTATTATTAAAAAGTGACATTCGTAAAAAATTAAGAGAGTTTCTAACGTAGAATCCTATAAAAAAATAAAATAAAAATATGGAACCGAACCAAGATACATTAACAAACAAAAAAAATATTTAACTAATTGTTGAGCTCCGAGCAGTTGTTGCATGTTATCTGCCTCACACCATGTTTTTGGCATACAAAATGCTTACATTCGATACATCTAGTGGCAACTTTTATATTTTTATGTTTTCCACATAATTTACAAGGTCCAATTCTTCTCTCTTCGGGGCAGGTGGTTGCTGTAGTCTATATTTCGAAAGAAACTCGCGCACATCCTTGGGAAGGCTCTTTATCTCAGCTCGTTCCTTCAAGTGGCTTTCCATTAGTTCAAATGCTAATTTTGTGAGATATACTCTGCGTCTTGGATGCTCTACTAAAGGTCTGTTTGCTTTATAAATAATCTCGGAATTAATACCAGCCAAATCAAGTATTCTAAAGAATAAAGCTAGTGGCCATCTTCGTGTTATCCTTTGTGTCGAATACGAACTACACATTTGGTCGACTGTGTCAACCCCACCTTTTGTAGCATTGTAATCCACAATGATTTCAGGTTTATTTGTAAGTTCATCAATTTTTCCATTATCATGCATCGTTGATAATAATAGCACACATTTATTCGGTTTTGGCTTGAATGAAACAAGAGATACATCGTGTTGAAAGCCAAACATTGCTGTACCAATTTCGCGGTTCTTTATATTGACAAATTCTGGCGGAATTTCTGGTTTATTTTTTTTTAGGGTCCCTACAATAGTCATCCCATTTTCTAGTAAATATTTAGCCAATGGATAACTGGTGTAATAATTATCCGTCGTAAGATTTC